GTTCCATGAATAAGTGTAACTTTATCTCCTGTAGTTCTGCATGTAGGTCCAGTAGTCACTGAGAGGAAAAATATTTTTATTATCATAGCCTCTTTAAATCAAGTGCCTTTCAGTACTATTAGGAAATCTGTGGCTTGGAAAATGAATAGGTTAAAAAATGAGTTGGGATTTTCAGTCCAATTCTTGGTTTTCAAGTTTCTACATCACAGCATAATCATCAGAAGCGATCCTCTCAATGAGGCTCAGAGTTGAAAGCGTGCATATTTAATTTCTTACTCTAAAACAGAGGTTCTGCATTGTGGGATGGAATTATGATGTTCAATAAAGAAGATGACATGGGAGCCAGCAAGAGTTTTAGGAATAATTGCTTTTCATCCTTCCCCCACCATCCCTGCCTTAAAAAATAATCTGTTACATTAATAGTGGAGAGATTGCATATACCCTTGCAGTGGTCTGAAGGAAATATATGTAGTTCATTTTCCAAGGCAATATTGCACGTTTCAAAAATGCCAAAATTTACTCTTTAAAAAATACAGTACTATGAAGAAATAAACAGTATGTATATAGTAACTTAACAGTAGAGTGAGTATGTAACAGGTACAGTGTACTTCCAATTTTTATCAACTTTGAAGCAAAAGTCTTTTAATGAAGGTACAGAAGAATTACTGTGTATAATGTGAAGCAGTGGTAGCTTATTTTTTGTTTTGTTGCAGTCTTAGTTTCCAGACTTAGGAAGTTTATCTGTAGTTTTTCTGCATCTGGAACTCCGGATGACCCAGAACTGTCCCAAGTAATATATAAAATATTTCTGATTTAATGCTTGAGGAATGTGTTTTATCAGATTTCAGAAAATCAGAGTCCAGAAAAAATCTAATTAATTGGAGGATCATAGTGTCTTATCAAATTGTAATTTCCGTTCTTTTTTGGTTTACAGTAATTGAAAATATAAATTTAATGTTATGTTGGCATAAAGGGTGAAGGTACTTCTATAAAATTCATAACATCTCTTAACTCCAGCCTTGTTATATCCATTGTTTTCTATTCTGCATGGTAAGTTGTTTTTTGTCAGAAGCACCATCAAAACTGCCTTTGTACAGTGTACATTTGTTTGAATTGCCCTTTGCTGTTGAATGTTCTGTCTGTGTATGTGTGGGGGAGAGAGGTGGTACGTTTATTTCAGTCTCCCAAAATTACTGTTCTGGTAATAATTAGTTTTATTGCTAAACTTAATTCTTTTTCATGATCACGATACATGGTTTGTGGCTATGTAGTTGCTGTGTCCATTTTCTATAAAAACAAAAAACAAAAAAAAACCTTAAAAAAAAAAAAAAAAAAAACTAACCCCAAAAAACTTTCCCCTTATTTCTCTCAGAGAATTAAAAATATGTAGTCACTTAACCATCTCAGATGGGAGTTTAAAGACAAAATCTGAAGGCTGGCTATCTTAGTTTTGAAATGGTTCCTATTGTTTATTACGTACAATGTTGGAACGATGGTGGAATTAATTTTTGTTAAGGTTTTCTATTGTATTATATTCTTACATAGGAATTTATAAGGTGTATTCCACCCATAATTCTCTATTAACTTTATCAGTATATTAACTATAAAAGTCTTTTGGTGGAATCTAAATCCTATTTGGTTTTGGCTTTGACCATTTTGTATTCTTAATGGTCATGAGTAAGAAATGAAGACAGCGGTTTACTCATGTACAAATGTGACTTTAGAATACATATGAATTTTGGGAATTCCTTTGTAGCATCATAAAGAATAGAAGTTTGAGAACAGTTGCATTTAACAGTGAAAATGAGAGAGTTTTTGTAAATGCAACCAAGATGATCCCTTATGTGAAGCCAGTTAAGACTGTGACAGTAGCTGTCTTCAATTGTTTTTTTTCTCTGTCTCATTATATGACAATACAATGGCCATGTGCATTAGTACTTGGATTGTTTCCATTTTTTAATTGGGAAATGCCACTTTCCCACCAAAAACCCCCCGTTATAGAGTTAGCCATGTGGAGCACATGGAGAGTATAGCTCAAGATGCAAGTGAATTCTTAATCCTGAAAATGAACCAACTGAGCAGAGTTGTAAGTCATCATGTTAACTTCTCAATAAATAGAATTGAATAATCTTAATACAAGGGAAATGTGTTTTGCTAGAGACAAAAGTCTCATGGCTCAGATGCTCGTTAGACCTCGGAGAACAATGTGCAAGGTGATGTTTGCAACTGTTGGAGATAGATTCATTTGTATGTTATTTCTAATTCCAAATTGAATAGTATTTCTTTTAAAGGCATGTTTTAGACTTTTCCTGTTTTCCCTGGGACATCACTACAGTGGCAGAAATAAGGGATTTTTTTTTTTTTATGTTTTTCCTGTGAAATTGTGTGGGGCATAGCAGGTTTCTCTTTATTTTAAGCTTGACCTTAAATCTGAATTACATGCATTTGATGCTTCTTGAAAGTACTTGAGGCATTTTTTTTACTTTGAAATTACTAATGCACCCACATGTTAGACCTCAATTCTGGAAACACACAAATGCTTTAACTTGAAAGTTGTAAACAGCAAATGTAAGTATCATGTTAAATCAAATACAACACACACCTTTTCCCCAAGAATCAACCTTCCAAAACTAAGCTGTATGTTTTACACAGGGAAGCTAATTTTTCTTCGCTGGAGTAGAAGCATGGAGAAACTGCTGTAATGGCTGCCACTTCTCTGGGACAGCCAGCAGCAAGAGCAGACTCCGGTGTTAAACCTCTTAGTCACTGCCAAGTTGGCAGCAACATCTGGTTGAGCAGCCAAAGGTTGCTGCCAGTGGGGCAGGGTTTGTGAAAGCTTTGTGCCTGAAAAGCCAATGAGCTGGCTGAGTATAAGTGAGCTGCTGCATGCAGTCAGTCACTGGAAAAATAATGTCTTCTACATTCTTCCTTCAAAAATAAGATGCATGTCATCTTTGGGGATGTCAGTTTGCAAAAGGATTTGGTATTTGCAGATTCATGGCCCTTCATTTATGGTATTTTTTCTTGGTATAAATTATGTATTCATACCTAACTGTTCAGGCCTCAGACAGATAAATTAACCTTGTTTTAGAAAACTTTGTGGATACTAACTAAAATAGTCTTTTCATGCTATCTTGTTTAAAAATAGATTTCTGTGTTGCCTTTTGAGGCAAAGGAACCAAGGGGTGTAACCGTTGGAAAGATAAGGGGTCTTCTTTTTTAAATGTCACTATTTTTTTATGAAACATTGAAGCCTACAGTTTTTCAGTGGTCTGCCATTGAATATGGAGGCCCCAGTGCCTTGAATCAATATGACTAGAATAACATAGAAAAATAACTCTGTGGTTTGGGGGAAGCAGGGAAACTTTCTGGTAAGCTGATGTCAAAAATGTTATGCAAGGAGCTAGTGCAGACTGGGACTATTACTTAAACCCTGCCAGATTTAGGAAATTTGAATTTTGTATTCTGGTTCAGCTGGAACCCTTTTATCTCTTTAATTTCCTCCTCTGTAAAGTTCTGATGATGACCTTTGTTAAGGCTTTTTGAGATGTCTGATGAAAAGCATTTTAAGAATAAAGTATATTATTTTATTCACATGGTTGTGATAAACCTGGCTGAAATTTTGAAGAAAAAAGTAGAAAAAAAGGTATTGTAGCAAGTACTGTCACATTCTAGTAACCATTAGACATCACATCCACATGTATGTTCTGTGTGTGTGTGTAATATAATTTCATATATATGAGTATTTGATTATTGTATCTTAAACCTGTTAAGGTTTAAAAAAAGGCTTGTGGGAATTTTTGTGGTGCTTTTATCCCTTAAAATCCATGCACTAGCTTTTGTAATAAGGGTTCTGAATTATGTTGTACTGATGAACTCCCAACTTAAAATACATGAAAACTGAGCTACAAAAAGTAATAATGAGAATCCAATTTAAGAGTAACTGGTTGTTTCCTTTACCAGCCTTTGTGATCTGTGCAAATAACAACGAGAAAAAGATCCAGATTATCCAGTGGTTCAGCTATGAATTTTTGGTCTCTCTCTACTTTCTTCTTGTTCTTCCAAAATGATGGAAGTCACCAAAGAATATAAAAACAAGAAGCAAGACTTGGCTGAACCATCTTAATAAAGTTGAAAGTTCTTAAAAAATTACGAGTCAGTACTTACATAGTAAAATGCACATTTATGTAATGTATGTAACAAGTAAATTTTTGTTACATAAGCTAGGATACTGGGCACACCAGAGCCCAATAGAACCTGCGCTTTATTGTTATGAAAGAAATGTAAATTAATCATAAGAGATTACCATATTTACCCAAATCCAAGAGGACTATGAATTTAAGGTGACTCCCCAGTAATTAGATTCTAGACATGGAACATTTATAAATTAAAAAAAACTAGAATCTAAGTTTTGGAGGGTTGTCTTAAATTTGGAAAGCGGTGTCGGGGGGGAGGGGGGGGGAAGGTTACTGGTCTGACCTTTCCCCTGCCTGTCTTCACCTAATCCCCACTACATGCCTGTGCCAGTACCCCCTGCTGCCTGCTTCCCTCCCACCTGCTCCCCTGTGCCCATGCCTTATGATGCCTGCCCCTCCCAGCAGTGCCTGGTTTCAAAACAAGGGATGTTGGTGGGAATTTTTAAATTTCTAAAATACTTATTTAGTTGTTTAAAAAAATGAAATTTGTGTAATGTTACATGATGCCAAAGCATTATCCAACTCACAACTGTGTTTATATATAGAGAGGATGTGATGATGTCTTGCTTTCAGTAAGCAAAACACCTAGCAAAATAGAATCATTTTGGTCACAAACTGACACACTCATTCTTACAGTGCTGATATGCTGCGTGTGTGTGGTTTGCACTGTAGCCTTTTGTTCATGGATAATAGTGAAACCGGAAAAGCTGGATGATGAACAGAAGGGTAAAGACACCGGGGATTACACTGCAAAGCAGAGCTCTTGGATCAGAATATGTGAAGCCAAAGGTATTTCCTTTCTTTTGACCAATTAAAGGAATTTCAATTTTTTAAAATAAAAGCAGCCACTGCATAAACCTGTTACTGCTGTTTGCACTGTTCTAGGCCTGGTTTAGGAGCAGGGCTCCTTGAAATTCCATATTACCTCAGTGATTATGCTAATAGGATTAGAACAAAGATCAGTTGTTTCCAGAAACAGTTTTAAAAATAACATTTGGTGGAAAAGCACTTAGTTCAGAATTTGAACTTCAGAAAAATTTGGTTTTACTTGCACTTGAACCCTAGGATTGCAGTATTTCTGCCAGTCACTAGTATACATTACTCTCTTGACTCAGTCATAGAATAGAAACTACATAGATTACTGTCCTAATCATACAAAAATAGAGGTAAGTAGAAGGCAGCAAGAGAACTGCCATGGATTTCAAAAACACAGATCAATTTGAGGCTGAAGCCATAAAAATAATCCTATTAATTATGTCAGTATGGTTCTTCCTGTTAAAATATACCCCTACAGATATTGAAATGAAGCCTTAGTGGATAAACATTTCTGATTCTGTGTGTCTCCATAGTGTTTCAACATAAATGCTAGGTCAGACTTTGAGAACAGAGCAGCCCTTATCCTCTGTCATCAAAACAATTCCAGGTGCTCCAAATATACTGGGGGTTTTTTGCTAATTTTATTAATTGTAATTGGGATCATTATTATAAAAGAGTATGATAAGGTTTTTGCAGGTGTCTAGCATGACATGTCTGCTCAAAAAAGAAATTTAAGTAGAAATAGGTCCTTTAAATACCACCAAGTGAACAGGAACAGGACTTGATGAATTTAATGACAGAATCACGATTCTGTCGAAGGAGATTTGTTTTAATATAATCCGGCTTGATAGTAGCTACAATTTCTGTTCACCTTCCCAAGAAACCAATATATCAGACATACAATTTTTATATTTTCTTGTGACCTCCAGTCTAAGAGAAACTTCAGAATTGTCAGCTCCATGTGCCCACATGGTGGTTAAGTATTTAAGATGGATAGCAACACATACTGTTTTATATTATATTTAGAATAAAGTCTATGATTGGAAAGCATTCCTGGTTTTGAGGATAGCATTATACAGCACAGGTTACAAAGCTATCAATTCCTTTCACATATGCTAGTTCACGTGCTGGTTTCTAAGTATCTAGATAGTCAGTTGATTTCTGAACTGTAACCTCTGAGTGCCTTGTACATTTGCATGCTGTATAAATAATCTGTTAATCTATTCTATGGGCTTTATAATAGTAATTCACAATTTGAAAATTAAATTGTTTAATGCTGTGTACATTGCAGAATAAAGTTCATAATACATTTCTTACCTTTGATTAAAATATTGATAAACAGCTTCACAGCTACTTAATCTTGAATCTGGTTTCAGTTTATCTAACCTTGTGCATAATTTGGTGCTAGGGGGAAATCCAGGCATTTCCCCCTCTGTTTCAGACTACATACCTTGGACCAGTGCTGGGGGAAGATGGTTCCACCTGGAGGCCGCTCAGATGCATCTAGACCTCAGTATATTGCTGTTAAATAAAGAATGTTTGTAGTTGAAGCTTTGAAGTAAAGAGATTTCTCTGACTAGCCGTGTCACAGACTGTCATGTTGGACACACTGGCTATTGTTTCAGCTTTTCACTCTGAAAATTGGGGTAGTACATGCTATGCTGATGTATGAGCCTTTTTTCATAGATTAATAATTTATAAAGGGATCATTATATCATAGTATGGCTCTAGGATTTCAGCACGTAATTCTTGCATGAATGAAGTCTAATCATTTGAGGTTGAGCTGTTGTTGTGCCTCTCTTAGAAGGAAAGCACTAAACACCCTTATTTGTGTCTTTAAGAAGCCTAAATTTTCATGCTAGAAATAACTTTCTGGTATATCAAAACTTTAATATCACTTTATTGCTATATTTGTGATTTTTTTGTCATCTTCAGTTACAGTGTGATTGAGCAGCTGAACTGCCAGCTTCTAGAATTCAATATAAGACTCAGATTTCTATTTTTTATAAATCCTAGTATGTGAGACCCATTAACCATGTCAAATAACGAGATACTTTTTGGTTCTAGAGAGTGTCCAGTTGTATCAAGTTGAAATAGTTAAAGCAAGATGATAAAGGGTTGGAACACCGATGGTCTTAACGTTGGTTTAAATTATAGGATTTGAGAACCCCAAGAAATGAATTCTTACTCCCATTGCTTTGTGCTGTACAGTACAGTACAGAAAGGCAGACCAGGCCAAATAGCTCACAGTTTGGCTGGCTGTAAATGAACATTGCTGAACAGTAGAAGTCCAGCAGATGCTATCTTGATATTACATGAGTTATTAATTAAATCCTAATTGATAGCTCATAATATTCGATCATATAATTATCATAGATTACTTGTTTAATTAGCGCCTTTTTTTGCTGATGGTCCATGACTGAGTATCGGTCCTCCCTGATTTTTCCACCAGTATGAATTTTGTTTCTTTTAAAGACAGTACTTGTCTTCTGCACAAATATATATACATGTATGCTTTGGCATTTACAAAATAGGTATTTCAACTAGAAAGAGTGATTATTTATTAAATTACATTTAATTTATAAATGTAATTTATTCTATTTTTCTTTTTTTGGAAGCTGACAGTGTGTCCTGCTTAGATGGACCAAGAAAACGTGGATATTGGAGCGTGTACTCCACTTGTTAATGTCATCTGCACTGACAATGGGGACCTTTAAATAAACACTTCTAATTCTCATTTCAAATTAAATCTATTTTTTTACAATATAAACTATATTTCATGACAATGAAAAATATTTCTAAGGAGTAGGAACAATAGGATCATATATATACATGATTTAATTGCAGTGTAAATAATGCATGTCACCCAACTGATCCATTTTTAAAATAAAATTTGGTTTAATTTTCCTCGTCTACATGTATCAACTTGATAAACCTACCCATAAGCCCTACTGCTGGATGTGTTTCCTATCTTTCTATCTTTGTACCTGTATGTATCGTTTGGTATCTCTCTACTGCATAAAACAGCAGATTTTAAATGAAGAATTTCAAAAATGAGGATTCTTTGAATAAAATGTTTTGATTGTGTTGATCTTTATAAAGACCACTTTCCTGCCCTTTCTTTTTCCTTGGCACTTTCATGTCATGACTTTAAGATGTAGTTCCACAAAGACTTTCCAAATCTGCTGCCATTATTTGGGAAGAGGAAATTAGGACACAGGCCTTAGCGCCTGCTGCAGAAGTGACAGGTAAGGAAGTTACAAGTGGGAATGGGGAGTAGGGAATTTGTTAGAAACAAATTTTAATAATACTCTTTTAACTAATAAAGTATGAAAATAATTTGAGTAGTGTTAAAAAAAAAAAAGATGTGAAGTACTGCTTGACTTGGAATGCAGCTTTGATTTATGAACTACAGATAGACTCTGATTTGTCATTTACAATATTCAGAATTCAGGAAAAATTCCGTCAGAACAGAATTTTGTTTTCCGAAATTCAAATATGTCCTTCAAGACCTTAAGATAATCACAGTTGTACTTGAATTCTTTTTCTATCCAAAGAATTCATATTTATTTTCTATGCTTCCTAAAACGTCACTACCTTGTAAATCCAAGGAAACTTTTTCCCTTGGGCTTTGTCTACCCAACAATTCCATACTGATTTTACTAAAATTTTAAAATGGATTTAAACTGGTACAAGGGTCGACTGGACTCATTTAATCTCTTCAGGACTAGTTTATATCCATTCTGTTTTATTGATGAGTTAGTTGTTGCAAATGAAATCCTGAATCAGCTGGAAATCAGTTTGTATGAGGTCCAACATAATGAGATTCACAACTATGGTTCCTATGCACTACCGTAAAATTTTTTTATTATTATTCATGTCGTACTCTTTGTACTGGCTTAACTACATCTTTCCAAGTAAAATTTAAATTGTCAGGAACTTTTTATATGTAGACCAACCTTTCATCTAGGTTTCTGTAATTAACCCCCCCCCCCCCCCCAATTTTTAAATTTTTTTTATTTTTTCCTTATT